GTGTTCTTGCAGTGTACCTATATATACAATGTAAGATTCACGCGTATATTATCGTCTTTCGTTTTCCAGGCTCTCATCAATATTATGTCGATATGCCTATAATATTCTATAATATGTATGTTTCCCAGATAGTCATTGGTTTTCGAACTCGGCGTGCGCACGTTTTCGTAGGTTGTATAGCGTCCATGCGCAAAGCGAATACGCCAAAACACGAAGCTTATAATATCGTGCGTACCCATGTAATCACTAATCCGTCCACCTCCTTATGTCCTATTTATGTATATAGCATACGTATCTTGTGCCCAGTGGTGGAACCAGAGGGGTGGTTTGGGGATCGTATAACCCTCCAACTCCGAAATCTTTGTTTTTCGCTTAGTTTTTTTGACTACCGTCATATTGTTATGTTATATGGAAGTTACTTTCTACCGCAGCAGCTTGTACCTACAACGGTTTCATGGCGGTCAAAATATAAAGTAAAAAATATATCAACTGCAGCTATATACAGCGATCAACGGGCGACGCGGAAATGAATGCGGATGAGACTTTTTCTACGTARGCGTTGCATAATTGAGACCTTTTTGTACTATTGTGCAGCAATAAGTCACCGTTTATGTGTTAAAATGTTATTATGTTCATAACATTGGTTCACGATTTTTCGTGTATTCTTCAGAACGCGCGTGTGCGTGAGGGTCGAGGGAGAAAGAGTGTAAAACTTATTAGAAGATAATGTCTATAATACTTATATACCTATAATATATACCATTATTACGGTATCACGGTAGGCTCGAGGCGGCGGTTACACTGATCGTCACCCTATTCAGGGGAGGTAAATTTATTGYAGTGTGTGTAATACAGAAACACTGATTAGTACGAACGCGGCGGGCACGTTTAGTCGCGGCCACTTCTTCCCTCGTTAACGCACAGACAACTCCACTGCCGCCGACCTTCTCGAAYAGGACGATTTCACGGATATTGCCCTCGACCGGAGTGTTCGGGTCCTAGTAGACCGTGGCGGACGGTGTGTCTGCATCAAGTTATATTACGTATACACATTATTGGAGGCGGACGATGGTGTGGAGGTGGTGCTGCGACGTCGAAGTGTATATATGCGTTAAAAAAACAAATCTCGTCTACATATATAATAATACTCGCGGTACCTATACAGTGTGATAATATTATACATGTAGACACGTTTTTTTGTTCACCCCGTTCCCCCTCGAGAACCCGTGAAATCGTGTACACCTAATATTATGTGATATAATAGTTATTTAKTGCGTATACCTATATAGGTGATATAGTCGGACGATTATAATATTGTATATTTAGTRSCGAAGCGGTTGTGATAGAGGTGGAGTGGAGGAAAAAAAATTGTGCGTGATGTGAGATGACTCGTTGAAAATTTTTCCACGCTTTGATATGTTATGTTATGCACGGAATCATCTTTTGCAGAACGATAAGATTTGAGTATATAAAAATAAGGAATGCACAACTGCTACAGCACCTTACAATAATAAATTATCTATGATATTATATAGTACCTACCTATAAACTCTTTACACCTAATATWGGTACTATATAGATTAAATGTAAGCGTATTTCTATTATAATATAATAKATGATGCAAGGGTCGCCGAGACGGTACCCACGAGACGTTCACCGAGATGCTGTGGTGGCCACCTTGTACCTATATATACTTGTCCTTGGGAATTTCGGATATTTTTAAATTTTCTCGCGATAGCTTTCCTATTATAACATATCACTATAGCACATCATACATATATATAGGCGCGTTAATTTTGATTCTAAAAAATTTTACACGCGTGATATAGCTGCAGTAGTCGATTATACGCGCATTTCACCGCGCTATCTATACATGTTTTAGTTCTCACGTTGTGTTATTATATTCGACAAGACGATTTGATTGAAACCTGTACACGACGAAAACGACGACGGCGACGACGACGAAGAAGACGACCAATAGACCGCCGATTTGACACGGTTTGTCTTTATATCGACGGTCGGATCTCTATTATAATTGCTATTCACGTTATACTCGCATCGGCCTCCCCGTCCGTCTCACTCTTTGTTTCCATCTTTCCCTCTCTCGCTCGTCATTATTATTATCATCATCATACTATAATATTATAATGTGTATAGTACTATAGTATAATATATACCTTATGGCTTATAAGTTATAGGTAACGTAATAATAATTGTTACCGTTGTGGGACGGTATGTAATTTATGATTTTATTTTTTTCCTACCTTCTCTGCGCATGCCCATTTTCAGACACTTTTTCAGCCGACAGTACTGACATTGGTTCCGGTGGTGTTGGTCKATGGGACAGTTCCGGCTTCCCCTGCACGAGTACGTGAGATTCCGGCGCACGCTCCTTTTGAAAAAACTCTTACAGCCTGAAAAAACAGAAAACGGTTAACGTTCACGCGATTATAATAATATTATTATGGGTCGCATACCTATTATACCTATTAATAATTGACTATATCAACAATCAGCTCATTCAAAAAGTAATTATAATAATAATAATAAACAGTAATAATATTTATTGTTAACAGTTACCTATATTGTTGTAAAACGAACTCTCTTTGGGCGTTTGTTTACACAAAACACTCACAATAACTCGCAWACGTTTCATAATATTTTATGCAGTTCGACAAGTGTATCAAGTTACGTTGTTGTAAACCAGTCGGTTACCCGCGAGTATAATACATTAATGATTAAGGCATTTAATATGGACAACTATAATATTCGTCTATCACTGCGTTCAAATACACACGTCGTTTTGACGCGAAACCTAATTTATTAGTAATAATAAAATGAAGAGTATACCGATATGTACCAGTATATAGGTATATAATTTTATTAAATTCTACATAAATCACATAAATCACGATTGAGTTGTATACCTATGGTATTTTCGACCGAAATGATTTAATAATAAGGAAATCAGTAAACACTATTCTTCGTCTGCAGATAATGTAACTTTTCTATTGTGCTCATCGATGAAAAATAAAATGCCTATCATTTAAATGTCAATCATTAGCATAATATAATATAGGGTGTCTATATAATAAATAAAAAACTGATTTTGTATTGTAGTGGTCGATGATACATGTATATTAAGGAATGAAAAGTCATATAGGTAGGCATTTCTTTGAAATTTATTTACTCCGATCATTATAGTGATACATATGGTAACGTAGTCAATGTTTAAGAATATATTGATGTATGATATCATATTGTATTATGTGTGCACGAGTCCTTGTAATAATTGTATTCATACCGACCGACGGACGTGCACTTTAATGATATAATATATATAATATAAAAATTAGACACTCAAACATATAATGTAAAATATAATATGATTTCTGTACAAAGTATGTATTTCCATTATGTCTTATATAGACATAATATGGTTCCTATATTATTATTGTGAAATTATTTCTTATTCATTATCGCGAGTGATGTAGACTATATACCTACTCTATCTAGCTGTTCAGTTAACTATTGAAAAAAAAAACTAATAAATAATTACACGCCATAAGGTAAAAATAAATTTCATTTCCTACTTCGTGAATTAAAATAAATGCAATTTGAATATTGTTGCAATACTTATATGGTAATCGACGGTGCTTTGTATTTAAATTTTATCTATGCGTTCATTAATGTTAAACGTCGTGCAGGTTGGATCATAAATCAATATTTACGTRCTAAAATGTTTATAATTGAGGATATTAATCGTTTTTGCATAATTTTTTAATCCCAATCCATAGCTCATATACCTATACATAAGTATTTAGTTAAAACAATAGACATTATATTATACAGTGTTAAAATTCAGGACGTTAAATTTTAAATAATTAAATTTTGAAAATTATAATAGTTTGAAAGAATAACTATTATTAGTTCGTAGCAAGAACGTAATTTAACTTTGAAACTCATATGTGGGGCAGTATAAGATACCTATGCTAAAATTTCGTTAAAAAAATTCAGCATAATATAATTCTATATGGGTAATGATATAGTGTATAATAAATTGGTATATCTTTAAATTTTTATCGCAGCTTAAAAGTATAAATTTTGTGTTTTAAACTCTTAACCTAAAGAAAATAAAAGTTCGTTGATTGCACGTGGGATAAACAGCCACCGTCATATTTTATTGCGAAAACTTTTGTATGGTTTTGCTGGTGAGCAGAATATTAGGGATTTGACAAATAGTTGCTGGAAATACGTCGTAAAAAACAACATAATGTTATTGTAAAAATTAGTCTGGTATATTATTATATTATAATATCATCGGGCGGAACGATTTCTCACGCGTGTATAGTGATTCTATTTTGGGTGGTGGTGGGTGGGAGGAGGTTGATCTCTACAAAGTACGTGTTTGCGTGTGATAGTCGGAGACTGGCGTGTAAATATAATGGTAATAATGTAGGTACTAACAAACGCTAAATGGGAAAATAATAATATTTTGCGACGCACGACAGTGGCTTAAAAATTATCAACTCCTAAATAATATATAATAAATCGTGATTGCAATGCTAGTGCAAAGATAGTTAAGAAAACGTGCGCATTGTAGTAGCGATAAACACTATTATTGATACTCWTATGATACTGCAGCAGAATTATGTGGAATGACGCTCAATATTATTTATTATTATTACATTTTCTAGCTTTTTCACGTCGTATATACATCGCAAGTAAACATATTCTGCAATCCATGGGACGTAGAATAGTATCGGATATTATATCCGATATCAATTATTGACACAAATGTGTATAGGTACTCTGGGCAATTCAAACGCAAATATAGGAAATGTGGAAGTATGATAGAAAAGGATAGGTTCATCTCACTGATGGATTAAGATTATCCGGCGGTATCTATAGGACTTGAATATTACGTCTATATATAATATCCAAGTCGCAAGCCTTTTCGGACATTTCAGTGATAAACTTGAGATCCAACGACTCCTYCGCGGTGAGTATATAATAAATWCGAATTATATATTACATATAATATATATATATAGATGAGTATACAATGCATGCAACGAGCCATGTCGGACGATTTCCGTCGACACATGCTTTGAATGAGCTTTACATTTTTACGAATTCTATAATAAATTATCCCGCAATGTCGTGCAAATGAGCTCGTCGTGTGTACCGCGCGTATATAATATTACTCTGCAATTAATTCATTATTTATATACGTATACGACTTAATAACATTATAATCATATAGGACGTTCCGTCGAAAGAAACCAAATCTGTGTGCACCGTTAATGCTCATTATGAGGACGAGAGAAAAAAAAATGTAAAAAATCGTCTCAAGCTCTTCGTACACACACGACACACACACCTACAATATTATAATAAACGCAAACATTTCGTGAGCGCACGCGTGCATAATGTCATAATAGATGGCCATAACATACACACAATGTTTTATATACATATATTATATATGATTATGTTATATATAGATGTACGGCGACGGTAAATATCGTGTTTAATATAATAATAACAGTACGCGCACATTCCGATCACCCTGTATACATGTATAATATGTATATGCTATATGTATAGAAATAAGACATACACAATGGAGATCCGAGCCGAGACCGGTTCCCACGGCATCATCGCCGTCGCCGTCGCCCAGTCTCTTCGCGCACTCGTCCTCCTCAACAGGTTTGGGGGCTCGCGCCACACACACACACACACACACATATAGGTACGTACATGCACACACACACGAACACACTCGTGCATAATATATAGGTAGGTATACGCAGATTTACGCAAACTCGTGTGCCGCACCAACGACGCAATGATAAWAATATTATAGTGAMGATAACCATATAATGATAATGATTGTAATAATATAATATGGTAGGTATGTTACGACTAAAGTAGTGGACAACGACTACGTATATATTAGGTACATAGGAAATCGCGGAGAAATGGTTCGGCGAGGATAGCTACATATCCTCACAGACGCCCTCGCTTCATTCCATAGTCGTCGTCGTCGACGTCGCCGCCGCCGACAACAATAAGCCTCTCTCGATTTTATTATTATTATTATCATCATCGTCATCGTTTTTTTTTTTTCACAGACTCCTCGTATATACCTATATAGGTACGCGCATCGCATTCCTCGTTGATATTATTATTATATGTATATACTTTTTTCGTGTATCATTCCTCTCTCGTCTGAGTATAAAATATATAATATATGTGGTCGAGTGAATATTATATAGGTATAAAATAATAATAGTATATTAATATAATATTATTATGTTTATACGCACGCAAGTCGGTCGCSCGGCGGTAAGCGGTAAGCTCATCGGAGACCAGGTCTGGTATACATCGTGTATATAGTATGCATTTAACAGGGGTTTACGCCATCTGATATGTAGATATCGTATACCTACCTAATATTATATGATGCGCACACAGATTGATTTACGAATGAGACCACTCGCGCGTGTATGAGTCATTTTATTTGAAGTTATATTTTTCGAAGAGCCGCCACATAATATTTTAATTATTGTCCCACAGCGATCTTTTTAATGGTACTCATTGACACATTTCTCAAAAAGTTTTTTTAGTAAATCATTTTATTTTCATTTTTTACTTCATTCATTCGTGTTGAAGCTTTTACTTTTTTGTATATCAACGCGGGTACCTACATTTTTAATCTCATATTCCAATGTAGAATATTTTTCAGAATATTTCAATACTGAAAAATCGAACTTCGAATAAGTAATTAATTAGTTTTAATTTTTATTCACATTACGCCATGATGTGTACCTGGCCCGTGCCACCCCACACCATCACTAATCCATAATTTAAGTACTCATAATCGCTGACGGGTCAAGTTCAACTCAATAATAACAACTGCGCACCAGCGGGCCAGCTTTTTACGACCAATGACGTTTATTAAATAAAATAATTCACGTCCTTTATTAAAASTATAATATTCATTATACGGCGTTTAATGATACCTAATACCTATACCATATATTAATTATTCTAGAAAAAAAATTGTTTTTTTTTTTTAATGACACTTCTATCAGTTCTATCCGTCTATTATGTTATATTGTATTTCGTTAGATGATTAGTAATYATTTTTTAACAACTCATCATTGTGATTTATGAATATAGACTTATGTATTATATTATTATCACAGTCATTATGAATAGATATAATAGAYTGTCTAAATTTATTGTACCACTTTTATAATATCTTAAATTTTATTTTATACGATAATTAAATAATGACACCAGTACCTACTATCGTATTTAGCCAGAATTAGATAACTTTTTTTTGAGGAGGAGGGATAAATGTACCAAAACCGAAATTCTGAGATTCATTATTTTTCATCTGGAA